GAACTGATGGAAAGGGCCTTTCCCAAAGTTTTCCAAGAGAAAAACACAGCACAACTGGTAGGCAGTGTGGTGCTGTAGCTACTTGAGAAGAAAACTCAGAAGTTAAAATTGTGTGGAGGTTGAGGGTTTGTTGTTTTGATTTTCTGAATATTTTGAGAAGCAATTAAAAATTTTCAATATTTAGATGTCTTTTCTATGATGAAAAAGTATATTTTGTATACTTGCAGGAGAAAAGTTGTTCCAGTGGCCAACCTTCTGAGCTCCAGATAATGAATCTGAGCTCCAAACTTAATTTCTTTTGTGAAGAACTTCCTGGGCCGTGGGGACTTTGAGTTTTGAAGCAAATAACAAATCAGACGTCTCTAGTTCCTGGTTAGCTTCTCTTGCAGTTTAAACCACTGTTGTAGTGTTTGTCTGGTTTGAGCTGGTGGGTGCATCCAGGGGCATGTGGTAATTCTGAGAAGTAAGGTGACAAGTACAAGACTAACTTTTTAATTAATGTTTGTCTAGTGTGCAGTGTGAGGGACACAGTCCTGATTGAAGTAGAATACTTCACTTCGATCTAAGTAACGTAATCTCAGTTTGTGCTCCCATCTCGCCCGCTGTTGAAAGATTAAATGCAATAGAGGATAGCACAAACAATGATATTTGGCAATATGTGGCACGATGAATAAAATCAGAAGCTTCAAAAGATAGTTAGTCCTTTCTTTTTTTTTTTAAATGGGAGCTTGCATTACAAAGTAGAATTCCTTCTAGGGGACATTCTGAGGTAGTCCAAGTCTGTAGCTGATAAAGGGGAAAAAAGGGTGAGGAAGATACGTCAAAAGAGAAGCTACTCTCCCTTCCAGATTATTATGCGTGTTTTGTAAATCAGCACTTTATTTCTGCCGTTTCAGGAGCCCTTAAGACTGTACAAGTAGAGTCCAAAAAGCATGAGACGTTACAGCAACAGAATGGATTAATGAGATTTGTTTTATTTCTTGCTGAGGTTTACTGCAGGTTGATTTCTGCAGTGGGAAGGTCTACTTCACTGGTTTTACTAGCTACTTGTCTCACTAATTCCCTCAAACAGTGCTAGTTATGACAGTGCTGGTACCACTGGGGTCGTGGGATTACTCAAAAAAGTGCTGGTTTCGGTGGTGCTGGGAGCATGCTTGTGATGTGTAAGTGCCTTAAGCAGGTGGTGGGTCATCCTACTCTTCTCACAGCACTGGGTGCACGTTTAGGGCTGTATTCAGAAAGCATTTGTAGGTGTCATAGAATCATAGAATGGTTTGAGTTGGAAGGGACGTCAAAGATCATCTAGTTCCAACCCCCCTGCATGTCCTCCTGCTCAATAGAGTTAAGTACCTCCAAAGTCACTGGAGCAGAAGCTGGAGGCCTGCAAGAGTCAAGGAGCAGGGAGCTTGTTGAAAAATCCTCAGTAGACACAGGGATGTGAGTAGAACTTCTTGACGTGTGACAGGTGACACACTGTGATAGACGACAGTTGTGATTCAGTCTATAGTGAAAAGCATCCTTGTGGTAACAACATAATTTAAAGTGATGTAACTGAGCTTAGGCAGCACAAGTCTAATGCATGGTTTTGAAATGTACTTTTAGAACTGCTAGATGGACAGCACATACTCTTCTGAACTCACGTGGGTCTTTTTTATAAAAACGAGGAAAGCCATTTAGCTATCTCTTCCTTGAAATTGCTGGTTGCATTAACGAGACAGAAGTTGTCCAAGGCTACCTTGATTAGAGTATTGTGCTTAAGATTCGGGTTTTGAATAGTATCATGATGAATATCTGTTTTAAGTTCCTGGATTTCCTTGGTCCTTCTGGAAACCAAGGAGACCTAAGGATGCTGTCTTTTAAAATTTTAGCGCACTCTTAAGGCTTTCATTGGGAATGATCCCATTATTTTGAACACTCTTGCAATGCAGCAGGTTGCCATGGCTGTCAGTGAGAGTTAAGATTGCAGTTATTCTTTCTAATAATGAGAACTTGAAAGATGACAGATGGATGTGAGTTGCACCAAGTACTTGTGCATTGCTCTGGCTTTGTCTTTCTGGATCATGTTCGCTTATTTGGGTTGGTATCCAAACAACGTTTGCACATACCATATGTTTAGCACATCAGCGAAAAGTGTTGCTTTTCAGATACCCAGCTTGGTTATGAATGTTTTAGCATATGGAATAAGTGCCCATAATCGATGGTGAAGGGCTTTGCATATGGGAACTTCATAGCCTCCTCATATGGTAAAAACAGTATTCCTTAGTAGAGATGTTCATAGCCAGAAAACTTCTACTTGTCAACCATGGTATTTGGGCCTTCTCTTGTACCATATCACAATATTTCCTGTTCTCAAATCTAGTCTCAAACTGTTTTCAGGTTATGGGGGAAGGAGACATGAAATGTTGAGTATGAGAGGGGGATTCTTTTATTTCTGAAAGCCGTTTGTCTTTGATTTGATTGAGGACGTCTGTGATTGATGTTACATATTATTTAGCTTTCTTAAGTGGATTGATATCCATATAAATCTATAAGGAGGGTCATTGAAAAAGTGCATGTCAACAGATGCAGAAAATAAATGAATGTAGTAAATACCTTCTCTTTGTTTACAGAAGATAGCCTTTAGTCACTGCAGTACATTTTCCTGTGTCTCTATACCATTAATAAGCACAAATCACATTGTACCATCATACGTGAATGTGATTGATGATACTTTAAAAAAGGAGATAAAGCAGTATCACCTAGCTCACCTGCTGTGTCAGTTCTGCCTTGTTACTTAACAGTCTTCTGGGTGTCTCTTTTTCAAATACTGAAACCTAACAAACTTAAACCAATATGAATTGTTTAAGTTTCTTACCACCTTTTAGGCTTGTGAGGTAGAGAACATTGAGATGTGTGATATATGCATCTCTGCTGACTAATGAATTAATCATTTTTCAAGTGTAATAGGAAAAATTCAGTGGTATATTGTTTTTCGAAGGGGGTAAACATGAACTCTAACTGTAATTCGCAATGTGTTTAAAACAATTATTCTTTATCATTAAAGTTAATAATATGCACATTAACCTCTGATGTAGTCTGAATCAATACTGCAGTTTGGGAGATGTGACCCCTGGACAGCTTTGTCTAAATATTGATTTCATTGTCACTTGTATAAGGTATGAAACAAATTACATGCCTCCCTAATATCATTAATGTAGCCCCATTGAGCTACTCAATTTATGGCTTCCTATAATGCATGACAAAGCATTATGGGGTTATCGAAGACATTGTGAAATACAGTTGCTCAGTGTGCTAGATTTGATTGTGGAAGGCCAATGCCAACGCTCAATAACTTTCAGAAGCTTTACTGCCCAAAGAAAGTCCAGAGTCAAGAACGAGCCACTCTGTAGTATGCAACTCGGTTGTTAATTTCCATCAGACAAAGTTCCCTTGGGTTCGGGGAGCAGCAATTTATTTTACGACTTTCTACTTACGTATTTGTAGCCTTACATGAAAATAATACATACACTTGTGTTCTGTGCCAAAGGCAAAGTTTGTTCTCTTCAATTACTGGAGGTAATCAAAATAGGTAGGAGGAATAGCATCTCTCTGTCTTGGCCAGCATTTGTAGAGGTTGTCATTACTGTCATAATTTGAAATATGAGTTAAATAATTTACTCAACACTATGATTTCTTCCCTTTATTGCCTCTTTATTGCAACTGTCTTCTCACCGTGCCCCTCATGTTTTCATTACTGCTCCTTCTATCATAGCTGTTCCTCAGATATTCCTCACAACACCTTCTTACCCTTCCAGGAAATTTCAGGTTGCCCCGAAACCCTGGCGATACCAATCTTCCCTTCTTTTGCTTCCTCCCTCTTCTGAGAGCTCCTTTTTTCACACAAGCAAACTGTTGTTAAGCATGAGATTCAGCTGTCCTGAATTTCTGAAGATTTTCCTTCTTCTTTCCAAATACAAACCTTGGCCTCATGGATATCTAAAAAAAAAGCTCAATGTAAAGTTTCATGTCTTCCCCGTAAACTTGCAGTCAGGATGATTTTTCTTGCTCTTTGCTTGATATCTAAGCACTTCTCACCTGCAGCCATTGGCTGTAAGCTGCTTATTTCACATTTAGGGGCACCCCCACACACCCACTTCTTTTCCCCATTCTTTTTCTTTATTTAAAAAAAAAAAAAAAAAAATTTACTTCCATAGTCAGTCTAGGATATCACTTCCATTATCTACATATTACATTTTCAAAGCAACATCTTCATACTTTCTCCTGTGGTGGCTTCCATGCTGAGGAACCTTCTTGTAAATATATGCAAAGCTACTTCATTGTGCTTTAATGTATACAAAAATCCTAACCACGATTGAGCTTCTGCTGTGCTGAGACTACAGCCCATCGTTCCAGCTGATATCGTTTCATTGTTTAATTGTACTTGCCCATTTTCTCTGTGTTAGGCTTTTATCTGAGGCTGTCTTTAAGGCTTTTTGATTTTGGGGAGAGGATTTGTACAGCGTGAAACATGTAGGGCATAGTAATCTTTGGATAAGTATCATAGGTGCTATGTTATTACAAATAATATGGAATAATACATTTCCTACATATCAAAATGCTCTAATTATGTTATCATTACAGTCAACGTAGGATTGGCACCATTGAAGTAAAGTTCTCTTAGCTGTCTCAGAAGGGTGCTTGGCACCTTTTAGGAACATGCTGTTTTTTCATCAGAAAAGTCTGTATGGTGATTTTTTTCCTTTTCTTTTCTTTTCTTTTTTAAAGACAAAAAGGATGTTCTTTTGGTGAAGAACGTTAACAGATTACGAAGATGAACAGCCTGTTATGATCATCTTGAATATAATGTAGACCATAGGACTTCCCTGAATTAATTCCTGAGAGAATTAGAATGCAGCTTAGGAAAAGAAAAAAGAAAAACCACCTAAACTAATTTTTATTTAAACCTTGCTCGCGAAGGGTTTTCTTAGTTCATAAATTTTGTTCCAAATTTTCTCTTATAGGTAAAAGTGACCCATTTTGTGTAGTTGAATTGAACAATGACAGACTGCTGACACATACTGTCTACAAGAACCTCAATCCGGAATGGAACAAAATCTTCACATTGTAGGTGTTTGGATTTTTTTTTTTTTTTTTTAAGGTGGGATTGGTGGGTTCTTTGGAGGGTGTGTGTTTAAGGGGATGTACGTGTGAATCACAGATACCTACCGCTGATTCAGAAGAAAGATAGTGATGTCCTGTTGATATTTCTAAACCAAACAGCTCAATACTTTTTTGAGGATTAAATATATTGAAAAAAATAGAGAAAAGCTGCTGTTTTAAGGTAAAAAAGCAGGATCTGTTTCTTAGAAACCAGGTATGAGTAATGCTAAGCACTCCACACTCCTGCTAACTTCAGAGAGTTTCAAGAGCTCGTCATACTAGATTTGGCCCTAAGTTTTGGGTGAAAAAAAGGATATCGTGATTATGACCTGCATTAAAATGTGATAGTTAACTTTAATAAACATTAGGTAAATATATAAAGGAAGGAATTTCAGATGCATTTATACTTCTCTGAATTACAATCCTTGGACTTTCCATTTGTTCTTCTCATTTACCAACTACATTTCTGACAATACTGTCTAGTATCATAATAGTGCAATGCTACTATTGGATAAAATCCAATCTTAAGCATTTAGTTTATTGGGAAGTGATGCAATTCAGATTTTTTTATCCGTCTTGAAGGCATTTAAAGTCTCTGAAAAACTAGAAAAAAATATTCCACAAACAAAATCTTGCTGTTATTTGTCTTGCTTAGTTGCTGCTTTCTCCCTGCTTCTCCCTATCTGACTGCAATGTGACACCAATGAGTCAAAAACTGATCAGTTGCAAGTTTCTCTGTTGCTGAAATCAGCTAACAATCCACTGTGAAACCGGTAGAACCTTTAGCTTTGTGTATATTTACTTCACTTTGTCGTAAATGAAAATTCTGTGTTTTGCCCTTGATCTCAAAACAGTCTGATTTTAATCTTCTTCCCGCTCCCCCTCCCCCCTAAATTTGTCATTCATGTATTTGGCATCTGTAGCTTTTCTTGCCCTGCAGTGAGATCTCAGGAACCAACTGAGAACAAAAGAAAAAAGTCTCACAACAGTTTTACTTCTCAGTAGCTTATTAACTTATTTCTCCTTTATGTAGCTGCAACAACACACTAAATTCTTCATTAATTTCTTTTTAATTATCTACGAATAGAGCCAATAACTAATCAACCTCTACTGCTCGACAGTGTTCTCTGCGTAAGAAGTTGCCTGCTTTTGTGGAGAACAAAAGACTGATCAAGAATCAAATAGAAAAACTCAAAAGGCCTTCAAGGAGAGTTTTCACCTCTCTTCTGTGTATATTTGCATTATTTTGTTTACCCTCAGATTTGTTAATTAATTTTGGGCTAGCGATCCAGTTTCGTCTGGAGGTGTATGTTTTACTGAAGTTAAACTGCTTTGCTTGAATTCACATTTCCTGGATCAGCCATTTAATCAAAGATGAGTTCTCTCAAACAATGCTGGGTTTTTTTTCTCTGAATAAGGAATGTGAATTTTTCACTTGAGAGTTTACAGTGTACAGTGACATTTCTTGTGCATGGTGTTGGAGTGTTCAATAGCTCGCAGGGAAAAAAACAGTAGTAACTTAAAAATGCATTGTTTCATATTGCTTGTTTTAAATTTGCTGTGATGACTGTTGTATATTTGTAATTAACGAAGGATTTTAGAATTCCAGAGCTTCTTCTCTGCGCAAAGATGTGTTCCTGGGGCTCGTAATCGTTTTCAGTTACAAACCTACAAATTTTGCAGTGTTTGCAGCGAGAATTGCTGCAAGGGTGGCAGGTTAGGGATGCTCTTTAAAGGCTCCAAGTAAATCCCCTCACGCGGCTCTGCACCGGCTTTCCTCCCAGCTCCCGCTGCGCAGACCCCAGGTAGGAGATTTAAAGCAACATCCTTCGGAAAACTTCTGCTGGGAAAGCCTTGCCAGGAGAGCACACAGTCGCCACAGCCCTCAGAAAGCTTTTCGGTGTACGGAGAGGTGCCTCATCTGCTTAAGTTCTGTTCTCTGCCATGGCTTGGGAGAATAGACGAGTATCTGATTTTGCTGACCTTTCACTGTTCCTGTCCTTGGTGCCTGCTGGTGTGGGTGACTTCTCCTCTCTTCTGTGTGTGCTTCTCCCTTTGTAGCAATATTAAAGACATCCACTCGGTGCTTGAAGTGACAGTTTATGACGAAGACCGCGATCGGAGCGCTGACTTTCTAGGCAAAGTTGCTATACCGTTGCTGTCTGTAAGTTTCGTTCACCTGACATAGCGCTCTGTATTTTT